TGTCTTTTTGAGCCTGGGGTGTTGCCTTTCAGACTTCTTCAAGTTGAGGAGAAGGTTTGTCCACTTCAGTGTTGCTTACTTTCTTGTCATGATTCTGGTGGCTCATAATGCATCATTCTTTGGCTACAGGTTGGGATCCACTGATAAGTATTTATAACATTTGTGGTCCAATGGTTCTAGCCACCAAAGTGGGATATAGGAACATGACCAATTAATTCCAACCCTGGGTAGTGGAACCTTGGCTATCTGGTTGGGGCATGGCCTATGGTGATGCTAACTCATGTAAAATGCTACCAATGATACAGGAATTAAGTTCTGGGTGAAGATCATACCTGTACTGGAAGTAGTGCAGTTCCCCCAATAGGGTGCAAATCTTCTATTGACACACGTATGATATATGCAGATAATTTCTGTATGGATAATGCCCTCACCAGCCCTTCCACCTTATCAGTGTGGGATTTTTGCTTTAAGTGGGAGCGGAAGTAAGTATGTTTTGGAAGTTCACATTTTTCTAAATTGAAAATGCATTTCTAATAATACTTACCTTCTCTCCCACCCTTCCTCCCCACTAAAAACTAGTGTTAGAGACTGGGATTGAGTCAGTCTTGAAAAAGTAATAACATTATCTGCTTATATACAATCCCAGGATAGAGGGCATATTGATGTAGGTAGAGAGTGTCACAAGATAATTATCGCCAAAAACAAATGAGTGGGGTATAAAAGGCAAGAACAAATCATACCAATGCTTAGATGAACAAAGACAGAAACCCTGACAGTTGAATAATAGCTAATAATGTGAGAGGAGGTACGTATGATTGGGAATTATTATTGGAAATACATCCAATCAAGTAATTTGGTTTATGATACTAGAGGAATAACATTAGCCAACTTCCAATCTTCTGGCACCTGCCCACTATTCAAGAACTTAAAAAAGATAGTATTATGTGGCTCTCCTATTTAATTCTTAACAATTCAAAACCCTTAGGTAAATATTATGTGGCCCAGGAGCTTTATAATTCTTTAAACTTTTTTTTTAACAAGCTTAGAATTAATATGATCATCTAACTTGATCTTTCTGTCTGTCTACCGTTCAGGATTAGGAATATTGTGTAAATTTTCATTAGTAAAAAAATGAAGAAAAAGTAGAATTTAGTAATCTAGTCATCCCATAATTATCAGATATTAGCCTTTATATAACATTCCTAATGGCCCTACTTACTTTGATTATAAGATTTTGCTTCCCCTTAGTGCATTTACAGAATTCCTTGATATTAATATGTTTCCATTTTCTACCATCCTCTTTTCATATATTTCTGAGTTCCAGATTTTCCATTTGAACAACTTTCTTGATCTTCTATAATTCTCCGAATTCCCCATCATTGTAGTCAGTATAAACTTCTTATATTTATAATGTTTTTCTTTAAATTTATCCTTTATACCCTTTGTCAACCTACCTGTTTTTACTTTTATAAGGAACATGGCTGTTTTGAATATTAAATAATTTATTTAAAAAATTTTCTACATTTGATCAGTATATCCAGTTAATTAAGTTGCACAATTCACAGCAAATAGTTCTTGTCTCATCTCTTCAAAATTTGTCTTTTTTGAAATCTGGAATCAAAATCTCATTACTTCTAATATTCATACGCAGCAAACTTTCAAATCTAATTTGGCAATGATTATTTGCACCCAGATGTTCCCAACTCCCTACCTTATCATCCGTTTCTTTATTAGAAGTTAACAATGAATCCAAAATAGCATTGTTCTTTATATGTTCCTTAACCAATTGTTGAAGAAACCCATCCTGAACAGTTTCTTAGAACATGTCTCCCTCATGATTTGACTCTAGCATTTCCTAGCTTATATGCCTTAAATTAAAATTTCTAATAGTTATAACATCATTAGCAGTTGAATTTTTTAGCTCACTGTAGAGTTTCTTATTAATTTCATCAGTTTCATCTGGTAGTCTGTAAAATATAAATGAAAAGTTGGAGCACCACCATATTATGTGGTTCATAGGTGCAGATTGAGAATTTATTTGAACTTCCAGTAATATATAAGATCCACAGTGAGTCAGTGACAGCTATGTTGGTAATATAAACTAAGACTTCCTTTGAGTCCATGACAAACAATTGTGTCAGTGATATAAACTAAAATCCAGTTTGAGTCAGCGATAATTGTTTCAATAATATAAACTAAGACCCAAATTGTATCAGTGACAAGTAACTGTCAGTTATAAATTAAGACCACTTTAAATCGAGGATAAATAACTTTGTCATAATATAAAACAAGATGTACCTTGAGTCAGTGACAAACCAGTTGCTAGTGGTGAAATACACTTAACTAGATAATGAAAAATTTGGTCTTGGGAATTCATTAGTCCATCTAGCAGTTTGTAATTCCAGGGTATGTTTCAAATACTTCAGATTTGTTTTAAAAACTACAAGACCAGTGTAACTTTAGATAAACATTTACTGTTGATCAGGTATAGTTCTAGATGAGTATGATTAACAGAAGAAATGAGTTGATCAGGTATAGTTCTGGTTCTAGATGAGTATGATTAACAACTGAAGTATGTTGTTCAGGTATATTTTTAGAAGGATATTATTAACAGCAGCAGTCTGGTCACAGGTGAAGGGCCATGTCATTGCATTTGTAGACTCACATTCAAACATTTTTGAACTACTATT